AAGAGTTAAAACATGTAAAGCCTTATTTATCATACATATATGTGATATGTATTAGTATGTGAAGGATGATTACGTCAGTTTTTTATGTACGAGTTCCAGATGTCTTTAAGTTTTCAAGTAAAATGCTTAGGCTGTCAGACATACAATTAGAAGACCAAAGACAGAGCAGAGGCCAAAGACACACTTTGGGAGTAATCTATGTAGCAAAGACATTACTTAGGAAAAAGTAGAAAAGAGAGAGGGAAGCAGTAAAATGGAAGTAGGCAGAATACTGCAACATTTAAAGAATAGACAGAAAGAAATGAGCTGAAAAAGAAGACTACAAAGTGGCCGTAGGAAAAAACAGAAGAGATGTAGTGTCAGGTCAGCCTTGATGGCTATCTTTCAAAGTGAAGTAGTCAACAGTGGAAAAAAGTCATTTGGATTTAACAACTTGCAGTGTCATTAGAGATTTGAGTGAAGAGTAGATCTGTTGACATGATGTAGTAGAAACCTGATTGAAATGCGTTGAAGAATACTATTGAGTGGGAAGTAAAGCAATGGAAAGCTAGTAAACTAGTTTGATTGCAGAGGGGAAGTCAGTTAAATCCACCACTGAAGAGAATAGGGCAACAATGGATTTTGATAATTCTTTAAAAATTGGGGAGTGATTTGAAGATATATAAAACAAAGGAGAAGAGTAAAGAAAGACAGAGTTGATGAAAGACAAGAGTCAATAGAATGAGGCTCCTGAAGAGGTGGAAGGCGATCCAGAAGTCATAAAGATGGGCTGTCCTTAGACAGGAAGATGGAAAATTCTTCAGTATAACAGAGGAATAAAAAGAAAATGAAGGTACACACAAGATAGGTAAACATGGCTGTTAATAAAAAATTAAAGGCAATTTTGTCTAAAAGTGAGAAGGAAAAATGGGAGAGCAAAAAATTTGAAAAAAAGTGAGTTTCAAGTAATTCCTCCGGCAGATTTCTGTGAGATATTTAACCCTTGTTTGTTTTAGTATTATTCCATCACCCATTTTCTCTTTACTATACAACCACATTTATTTACAATTTCTAAAATAACTATATTAATATCTTTGGTTTTACTACAGTAAGGGTAGCATATATAACTATGCTATTATAACCATTTATGCATCCTATTAATTCTCCTCTTTAAAACTCAAAAATACATTTAATATACCTAACTTACTTAATGACCATCATAGCTTAGCATTGCCTACCTTCAATGTGTTCAGAATATTTACATTAGACTACAGTTAGGCAGAATTACTTAACAGAACCTACGTTATAGTAGAGTGTTGACTAATCTCATGTAATTTATTGAATATTACAACAAAAGTGAAAAACAGTATGCAGAGTTATTGGTTGTTAACCCTTAAGAATGGGACACTGATTGGGAGCTGAAGCTCACTGTTATGCTCAACATCACGAAAAGACATCAAATTGTACAGTCCAGAAAAATAAATTGAGATTCAAAGTACAGTTTCTACTGAACGTTTATTTCTTTTTACACTGTCATAAAATCAAAAAATCATAAGTCAAATCATCTTATGTTGTGGACCATCTGTATAAACTTTTTGGAAGGTATTTTGGAAATGTAAAAAGCCTCTAGAAAGAGAAGTTTACATTCTTTGTGACAATAAATTCCCATTTTAAATTTTAAAAAATGTTTAGGGCTATAAGTAAAGATGCCTATGGATACTCACAATCTCATTAGTAGTTATGATAAATCAGAAACACTAACTATCCAGTAACTAGTAATGAAATGATGGCACACTGTTTTAAAATGTTTATAAAAAAACAAAGGCATGAGAAAAATGCTGGAGAGATATTATATGCAAAAGCCAATATGTGAATCTACAAACATTGCCAATACTTGTTTTAATATTTGTGTACAGATTTGAATATAATTTTTCAAATATTAGAAGAAAATACCCCAAAGTGTTAATGTCTATGATCTTCTTATACTGCTCTGTATTTTCTAAATATTTTCTCATGATCATGTATATTATACACATATATCCATATACATGGATAAATGTATACTTCTAAAGGCTGCATATATAAAGGCTACATTATGCATACAGATAATAAAACCTCAAAGGCTATATCATATTATCAATTTCAAAATCACTGTGGAAATTTAACATTAGTGAAGCCATTTTAAAACAGAGCCAAAGTGGCCACTGTATCAAAACCAGTTTACTATCCTCTTCAAACTAGGTCAGACCCTTGAGCTGGGCTAAAAACATCAAAATTGAAGTCAAGAGGAATGAAAATATCCTGTTTGAAAGGAATGACAAAATGACATTTTATCTAACTTTCACTTTGTGACCCAATTACCTGATAATAATCCTTCTTTTCTCAATTAAAAAACTTTGATTTTTGTTTTTCAAGACATGGTTTAAATTTCTACCTATAATGTATGTATCCTGAATTGATATTCTCAAATAAATGCACTTCAGCTTGTTTGACATTGCTGTTCTCTCATTGAAGGTTAACACTAACCACTAGGCTTAAAAAGTAAGTTGTATCTACAGATTCTACTTCTATATATACTATTTGTCTGAATGACTGTATTCCATATATTTCTTAATTGTGGCATAATCTTTGCAAAGATGGTCTTTACAATCTTTCCCATCTTTGTGTACACTGTCATTTGTATTGTGACTTTTATCACTACTGTGAGAAGGAGCTTATTTCTCCTCTCTGTCAATATGAGCTGATCTTTGCTATATTTTGAGCTATGCAATTCCACAGAAGTGACAACAGCAAGTGTCTTCCCAACAGAGACTTCAAGAGCCCTAATGGCTTCCATACCCACCTTCTTGGAATGTAATATAAGAAGCAGCTCTAGCTAGATTACTGGAGGATGAGAGAATATACAGAAAAAGGCTGTAAATAGTGCCAGTTCCTAGACATGAGTGAGATCATTTAGCCCATCTAGTCCCAGCTGAGCTATCAGATGAGTACAGCTACATAAAGCATCCTAGATGAGATCAGCAAATCTACCTGAGCCTAGCTCAAATTGCCAACCAAAATATAAATAAAACAGCCTCAAACCTAAATCATAGTCTGAATTAATGACCTGATTTCTAATTTCGTTTTAATTAAAAAAAAATACAGAAACATTACTATATAATTAATACTTTTCTTGTGTGAAAATCACAAACATCACATTTACCTTTCACATTATTTTGCATGTAAACTAAATAAGATTACAATAACCAGAGGTTCAGTCTTAAGGTTCAGTCTTTCATTCATTCATTAATCACTAAATGTCAAACTATAGCAGACACTGACCATATCAGTAAACTAGAGATAAAAATCTCTACCCACATCTTCACACCCCACACACACACAAACACACACACAGTTGACAATCCAATTACAAATACATTATTTCTGATGAAGTAGTATTAAAGTGACAACTATAATTTTCAAGTAAAGAAACACATAAAGAAAATTGTGTATTCTAGTAATCACTCTTACCCTCATGCCAAGCACCAAGAACCCAATCTCCTCCATTAATGGGTACTTGCTGACCTGTTGCTGAATCTTCTCAGGTGAGGCAAAAGGATCATAGCTTTTTCGCCCTATCTTTACATCCATTATACAGGGCTTATTAAATTTATGGGTCACATCTTCCAGTTTTAGGTATAAATCTGTCATTAAAGAAAAACCTTAATTAGCAAATATATGACTAACTAACTTACAGAAATATGAAATGAAGTAAGCTTAAAACTGAGAAAAAAATTAAAACGAAATCCATAAAGACTATATTTGCTGTTTATCAGAGAAACAAATGAAGTTTAAAAGGATGTATATTTTCTAAGAGTAAAAAACTACCAGGAAAAAAGACTTATCTTCTACTTTCTTTTCCTTTCCCACTAAGACAAACATAGTTATTAAATGACAACAAAGAGAAGTCTGTGTTGAGTCAACATGGGTGCAAACAACCCAGATAGAGCTTAAGAGCTTTAAACACCTCAAATTTAAGAGGCATAAATCTGATTCGAAGGATATGAAATAAAGAGATAAATTTTAATTCTTAGTCAAAAGAAGGGGGTTGGAGCAGAAGGAGGGTTATAACTGTAGGTGAAGCCAAATCCAAATATGACCTTAAAACAAAAGTTAACTATAGCCTAAAAGACTAGCACTGGTGTACAAGATTGACCTTTCTTTCAAACATCCTCACCATAGTAAGAGAAACAAAATGTCTGAACAGAGATAGGAAATTGTTTACTGTGAAAGGTACTGGGACAAGCAGGCATGTCCAGGGCAAGAAACTGGGTTTCACCAAAGCTTCTGTACTTTAAAAGATATCACAGGATGAAGTAAGAGGAGGAAGGAAGCAGCACCGTATATTTTCCTTCAGATTCTCTCCTACCATCTCCAACTTCTATGGACAAAAGGAAAAGAAAGAGATCCATCCTTTTTTTTTTTTTTAAGATTTCATTTATTTATGCATATAGAAATGGGGTACAGGACAGAGGTGCAGGGTGCGGCAAGAGGATTTACCAGAAACATAGTGGGGAGCAGATCAGGCAAATGGACAGAGTACACTGCTAAGGGGAGCAGCAGGCTAGACAGGAGAGGTCTGCTACACCATGCAGATCGAACTCACACCGAAGTGGTATGGTGTGGCTTAGCTTCACAGTGCAGGGCTCCAATCCACTGCATCACCAGGGAGGGCCCCCTCCTCTTTCTATAGCTGTATAAAAATTTCAGTTAACAAGGGCCCTCCCTGGTGGTGCAATGTGTTAGAATGCAGCACTGCAAGCTAGCCACAGCTGCTTCTCTTACCCAAATTCTTTTACTATAATTTTCAAAATGATGCTGTTTGCTGTTATTACTCTTCTAAACAATCCTTTTAAGGTAAATATTTAATTATCTTATATGTAATCTAATACCATCCTCAGCAATCTTAATCTTTCAATGTCACTGAAGAGTATTGATTTGCTCTTAACTGAACAGCGATTAGATATAAAGTTTATTGGAATGTAGATATCTTACATTAAAATGGGAATCTCTACAAAGCAAAGATGATGATAATGATTTGTGAAATAATGTAAGCAAGTCTCTGATGTGAAGCAGAGACATATATTTGGGACTAAAATAAAAAAGGAAGAACTGTAGAAATGATGGAAGGAAGAGAGGCTGATAGGGAACAATCAGTAAAGGCTCACTTTTCCAAACCCCATATGAGTGAAGTACAGGAAAATCCTTATTACTCAAGGGAAACATTAATTTCCTATAAACTAAGTGGGGATACTCATAGGGAAAAATATGTGTCCTTGGCACATCTACTAAAATAATGAAGACAACTGAGCAAACTCAAGCTGGGGACACCCTCTTTTTTTTTGTTCTTAAAATGTAGTTCTAGCACTATCTACACCCACAAGACTTGTAGTTTCCTTTAACAAACTTATCTCTAAACTTCAACATAGATATGTTTAATCAAAGTATGAGACTTTAGTCTATGCATTTGCATTTTAACAAGCCCATATAAGATTCTTAAATTCATTTAAGAATCAATTTCTCCCCTTTATGAACTTTCTTCAGTGGTTAAGGCATGAAGCTGTTTATCTGTTCTGTCCATTGCTTTCAAATGGCAAATACTGCTTCAAATATTAACTAATATCGAGAGAAATGCTCTACCTTACATACATCATTTTGCCCTAACTATGAAAACTCCCAGTACTTTTTTTGGTAAGACTATTATTTAAAACCTGGAAAAATGGGTTAATGTTAAAGAATAAGAGGGACAGGAAAGGGAAAATATTCTTGACTTTTTTTCTTCCAACTCAATAGAAAAGGAACTACTGAATAAATTAAGAAAGAGTAATGATAAGTTAATAGTATTAAGTATTTGTATACATACATTCATTTAATTAGACAGATCGGTCATTAATATATGCACATGCCACTTAGGAAACAAGTTATAAAAAGCTAAAGTAATAATTATGGTTGCTTTAATGAAATAGAGAAAGATTAGAAAGAACACACATATCCTGTTTTTAATCATTCTATTTAAATTTATCTAAAGCCTTTTAAAATATACTCTCATGAATTAAGACTAAAAGATAAATTTTTAAGACATAATTACCATTAGGTGCAGTGGGAGGTGACCAGATGCCATAATATCTTGGCAAGTATTTTCGTAGCTCTAAAAGAACACCATCACTACAATCAGCAGCATAAACCTGAAACAAAGAAACAAATGTAACATCTGCATGCCCCTTTATTAAAAAGTTTTATAATTGCTCTATACCTTTCTCAAATAAAATAATGCTGTTGAATCACAATTTATCTGGTATGAGTTTCAACTGGATATAAATCTGTAATATGCAAAAACAGATCAATGTGGAAAAACTGTATTTTTTGTGTTCTAGTATTTCACTGACCTTAACTATCTTATAACTAAGTTGCAGATACCTCCTAGCAGATACAAAATATTCTTACTAATGAATTCTGGCCAGAGAAGATCAACTGATTTCCCTCCATACCACATGGTAGAGAGGTTTATTATGTCCATGTGTAAATTCATTTAAACTTCCTTTTATTCCATGTAAATTAGTGCTCCTTTGATCTCTCTTTAGAATAAGTTTTTTTTTTAAATTTTTTTATTTATTCATACAGAACTGGGGTACAGGCCAGAGATGGCGGAGGGTGAGAGGATTCACCAGGGACAGAGTGAGGAACAGAACAGGCAGATCAATGAAGTACACTGCTGAGGGGAGCAGTGGGCGGGTCAGGAGAGGTCTGCCACGCTGTGTGGTCACCTCCGGGGCAGGCAGGGTTCGAACTCATGCGGAAGTGGCTTAAGCTTCTTAGTGCAGTGCTTTAACCCGCTGCGCCACCAGGGAGGGCCCTAGAATAAGTTTTAATATCTGTTTGGTTCCCTCATTAAATAGTAACTTTAATAAAAATCTTTAACACATTTACTCTCTAAGGAGGTTATAACACTACTTTAATAATTCTAGAATATATAAGACATGTACAGATATCATTGAACTATTCTTTTTCCCTAAAAGAAAATTTTTCTTTTATAACAACTTTTAAGACATTTAAATTTAATCTAATTAAACTCTTACCAGATATGGCCTAACTAATTATTCAAAACCATCAATATTTAGTGGTGTAAATTATGAAATCTTAGTATCAGGGTTCTAATTTTACATTTTAAATCATAGTCATTTCAAATAGTACATATAATTCCACAAAATAAACTCAAACGTGATAGACTCACCAAATATCTATGGGATACACTGGTACCTCCCAGTTTTCCCTACTGAAATGTAAGCAGTTGAAATGTAATCAGAATTGGTATTAGTCACTTCCGGGCAAGGGAACTTAAGAGCAGGGTGTGTACCTTTATCACCCTTCTGTCCCTGGTACAATGACCAGGAGGACAGAGTGTTCATGACAAAAGTATGGGGTTAGTCACTGCAGAAGGGTTTGACGGGCTTTTTCCAGTATGTACAGTGTAGATCTTTTTGAATAAAAGTCACCCAAAATGTGAAACTATGGTATTTTGAGTAGAAACAACGGGCTTCTTCTTAGAGGCTGAGGTACTCTTGTCTTTTCCTCTAGCCTTTGCCCTTCTTTACTTGAAGAAATCATCATTTTTTGAGCTTTGTGTCCTCTTTCCTTATTGAAGCAATCATGCTACTCCTTTCATGACTAAAAGAATGGACTTTGAGAGTATCATCCAGGTACATTTGTAAATACATTCTCTATATCTAAGAATCTTTGTTCTGAGAGTAAAGATAAGTCAGTCCCTTCATATCATATAAAGTCTCCCTCTTTCCTTGACACCCTGTGTCCCTTAACCCTTTAACCTTTTCTCCCCTAGCCACATAATCACTGCATCTCCCCAAGCATTTTATTAAATTGTTTTTTCCTCTGCTAACCTGTATGATGCTATTTTCATTACCAACTTAGCCCAAGAACCCAGAGGGGTGGGGGATTTTTTTCATGTGCCCATAAGTATATCTCAAAGTACTGATCCAAATAAATCCAACATATTAGTTAAAAAAAAAAAAAAAGATAAAGTACTTGGAAAAATAGAGGTAAACTTTCTCTTTGTACTTTTAATATTTTTTTAAAACTAGAACTGACATTTATCATACCATGCCTAACCTATAAAAATTTCTACAAAGAAATGCAGGATAAAATATAAGGAATATTTTCTTAAATGTCTAGTTGAGTTGCCAAGGCAAAAAAGAAATTCAAAGACTCTAAAGTAAACAGGAAATTGAAAGCCTTAAGATGAACATGGATGTTTGAGTTCCAGCGAGGTCTACTTTGGTGAATCAAAAGCTCTCTGCACTTAGGGAACAGATATAGGTGACAATAGTTACTATGTTGAAATCGGGAGAGTAATAAAAGTCTAAATACTGAACAATAAAAACCTTGGCATCATTCTTTCTTCTACTACTACAATGTAGTACTTCTACTCCAAGAGTGTATGCTCACAGTTAAGCTGATCAAGAGAGAAAAGTAACAAACTACATACATTAGGAGTAAAAAGGAGGAGCAACTAGATACAGCAAGATTTTTAAAAAGTATCATGATGAAGAACTTTGTCAAATGGGCAATTTGGTATAAATATGTAATATGACTAAAATTTTACTGTAACATTTACATATTAAAAAAATCCCGGGCCCTCCCTGATGGCGCAGCGGGTTAAAGCACAGCACTGAGAATCTAAAGCCGCTTCCGCATGAGTTCGATTCCCGCCTGCCCCGGAGGTGACCACATGGCGTGGCAGACCTCTCCTGACCCGCCCGCTGCTCCCCTCAGCAGTGTACTTCGTCGATCTGCCTGTTCTGCTCCCCACTCTGTCTCTGGTGAATCCTCTCACCCTCCGCATCTCTGGCCTGTATCCCAGTTCTGTATGAATAAATAAATAAATCTTAAAAAAAAAAAAAATCCCACAGTATTTAGAAGCTGAATCATGGGTTAAAATACATCTCTTGGACGGTGACATAAGATGGCAGACACCATGGCTAGATAGTAAAAGCCCCTTGCAATCTCCAAGAATTGGAAGAAATCTCAAAGAAGGCCAGAAAGAAGTAGGAGGTGGTACAATTAGCTAGCTCTCAATCATGACAAAGATATGACACTTATAAGCTGGTCAGGGGTGATAACTGGACATTCAAGAACAATTGATGACTCTAAATACCCAAAGACATACCCCTCCTATACAATTTATGACAAAAATTAATAGTTCTAATGGAGTAGTAGACCAAAGACATCTACAACAGGGCTAGCAAAATGGCAGAACTCATATAGGAATAAAGTTGTGCAAGATTTGGAGCCTAATGATTTCTGAAGAAATATGAAACTCCCTCAGGCACCATAACTGTTTCAGCAAATAATCAAAGAAAAGGAAAACCATATTCAGTTTACCCCCATTTAATTTAAAGTCTTCATTTTCACAGTACAATTTTAGATACATCTTATAGGTCTGAAATAAATGGAAAGAAGTTTCCATTCAAAGACAAACTTATCTTAAGATCCTATAAAATGAGCCTAATTTTTGTTCATTTGAAAGATATAAGATAAGCTTAAAAATATATATCTAACCTTGAACCTTGATAGCTGACTACAGAAATGAAGCACTAAAGGAGTAGAGGGTTAACAACAAAGAAGCATAATGGTCTATGGTCTATGGTGGTGGAATATGGATGAGCTGGTTGTAGGTGCACTCTGCTAATTAATATCTGATGGGGGGTATCCTAATTATTTGAACTAGAAGTAAATCTAAAAAAGAAACATCTAAATCAACAATAATAAGAACTTCTAGAACTAAATAAACAAGTCAATCCAATGAAAAATGATCAAAGGATCTGAATGAACATTATTCCAGAGAACAGCCAATAAGTGAATGAAAAAATGCAAATCAAAGTAAATCACAATGAGATAATACTTTATACTCACCTGGAAGGACATTAAAAATAAAAGCAAACAAGTGGTGTTGGTAAGGATATGAAAACACTGGAACCCTAATATATAGCTAGTGGAAGTGTAAAATGATGTAGTCACTTTTGAAAACAGTAAAAGTTTTACAAAAAGTTAAATGCAGAATTACCATATGACCCAGCAATTTCACTCATAGGTATATCCCCCCAAAAAATTGGAAATGGCTACTTAAACAGATACTATATTTGAATGTTCACAGCAGCACTATTTTAAAAAATCCAAATGCCCATCAATGGGTAAATGGATTAACAAAATATTGTAAGTTTAGCAAAATATTACTCAGTTATAAAAAGGAACAAAGTCCTAATGCATGCTACAATGCAGATGTACTTTACAAACATTACACTAAAAAAAAAAAATACACAAACAGTTGCCAGGGGATGAGGAATAAGAGGGCTTCTTGAGGTATTAAAAATGTTTTATAACTAGATTGAGGTGGTGACTATAAAACATTGTGAATCTATTAAGAAGTATTCCTGTTCATATAGTTATTTAGATGTCACACACACACACATGTGTGTGTGTGTGTATATATATATATATATATAATTAGCACATTTAAAGGTAGAAGATATTCTGTAGTAAAAACACCTACTTAACATTTCTGAAAAATAAAATTTCTTAGTTAAGTATTTTTTAAAATGTAGGACCTACCCACTAATAAAAATTAATTTAGCGGCTATGAGTTTAAAAACAAAATAGAGGGACTCCTTGGTGACACAGGGGTTAAAGTCTCAGCACTATCTACCAGCTACTGCAGCATGAGTTAGATCCCCAGCCAGTGAGCTAATCCACATGGTGCAGCAGACCTCTCCAGTCTTGACTGCTGCTCCTCTCAGCAGTGTATCTCAGTAGCAGTGTATCAAAACACTGCTCTCCACTCTGTCTCTGGTGAATTCTCTAGCCCTCTGCACCTCTGGCTTACACCCCATTTCTTCTATGCATAAACAAATAAAAAAAAATCTTAAAGAAAATATACAGTGTATCAGTAGAAATGAGTATTGCTTTCATTCAGTTTTGTTTCAATCTTACACACCATATAAAAAGGACATGTAAGTAAAACATGAAAAATATTTTGACTATATAACAAAACAAATCTTACCTTACTTACCATATTATAGAATTCCAGCTCTCTCGGACCCCTTGGAGGTGGTTGTAACTGTTTCAAAACTGTGCCATCTGGATGTTGCAGTATACCTATAGAACAAATAGTTTATTTTTAAATGCTTCAACAATAGTGACTTTCTTCATGGCACAGATTTATTCCTTGAGTTACAGATAAACTGCTTTCATAATTAAGCTTTTCCTCTTGTTTCATAAAGTCTGACATTCAATCAATAAGTTCAGTGTTTGTTACATACAAAGCAACAGAACACAAATTCTAAATAGCTTTGTTTTATTCTTTGTAGTCGTTAACTCTCCTTATAGTCCCCCTCAGACTTCCTAGTATACAGATGTGCAAAAAATAGAATACATGTCCAAAGTTTTTATAAACAATCTTTAGACTTTCTAGGAAATGTTAATTTATAGTGAAACAATAGCATAAAACTACCCACTTTTATAAAAAAGAAAATGTCACCAGTGGTCCTATTTAAAGTTCCTACTTTGTAATTTTTTTGTTTCTCTCATATGTTAGGAGAAAGCAAGGCTCTCCCTAGGGGCACAACAGGTTTAAAGAGCAGCAATGTGAGGCCATTGGCAGCCACTGAAGTATGAGTTCAATCCCCGGTCAGGGGGGTAAACCACATGAGACAGTGGGCCTCTACTGTCTCTCCTGCTGTTCACTTCAGCAGTGTGTTTCAGTAGATCTGCCTGTTCTTCTCCTGGCTGTCTCTGGTGAATCCTCTCATCTTCCACACCTCTAGCCTATATGTACCCCAGTTCTTATATGCATAAATAAATCCTTAAAAAAAGAAGAAAGCAACCCAAAAAGTCCTATTTCAGATGCACTGTATACAACTGTACACAGATAATACAAGTGCACCCAGTTAAAGAGAAAAGTAGAGGCTAAATTTAAGCATGAAGCCTAAATGGGACACCTTTTTATAATGTGCCCACTCTGTGGGGAAGCCTTTTCTTAAAATCAACACTGGCCCTGCTGCTATAACATAGTTTCCTCCCAAATTTGTATGTTAAAATCTTAAATTTTCACATATTAGAAATTCATAAAATCATGCTAGCCAGAATAAGGCTCAAAAAAAAAAATCTACTTGCAATGTTAATAAAACATGTCACTTAGCTTTCTATTTCTTTTGTTAGTGTCAGAAAGTTTTAATCATGAAAAAATGCAGAATTTTTATCAACAGAAATAGTCTTCACTTAAAAGACAGTGACCATATTTGTTTTAAGATCTACATATAGAAAGAAAGTAATCTATATGCACATGACTAGTTAGTAAGCAGACAAAAGAATCAGAGTTTTAAATAGTTTACTGTAACTAAAAATTGTTTAAGAGAAATTCTGACCCTAAAGGTTGAGGTGGTCTTCACTTCCATGGTAAAGGGCTAATTAAAAGTGGCAAATGCAAAGAAATCTTAAACTGAATTCCAAGGGGATGTGGAAGTAAAGCATTCATAAATGAGAAGAGAACCAGGGCAGTTTCCCTATCTTGGAGTAGGAACCTATTCTAGTAAATCTTTCAATATAAGATAAATTTATAAATTTTAAATGACTGTAAGCAAGTAAACAGAAATAAGATAGACTGTAAACAATAGTAAAAGGAATGGATTAGAAACTATAATAGTGCTAACAAAATAGATCACTTGGTCCAGCAATGCTCTCGCACCACTTACTTTGCAACACACCCCTCCATAGAGGTGCTGGTAAAATTCCAAAAAAATTCAATAGTAAAATTAAGAGAAATATCAAAAGATCAGAAATATGTATGGAATAACAAAGAGAAATATAGCAAATTGAAAGTGACACACAGATGACCAAGTAATTGCAATGAACAAATAATGATTTTAAGTATGCTAAAAAAAAGATCATAGAAAAAAGTAGGTATAAAGTCAGAAAAGGCAAATTATTTCAGGAGACAAATAGAAGCTACAAATTATTGAAAGAAATTAAAGTTCAGACAGTATCTGAAATATAACTTTTTTGATTAAGAAAAAGCAATTATAGGAGAAAAGAGTGATGAACATTAAGGAAAAGCAATAGAATATCAAAATTAATGAACAGCAAAAGTATCTAAAAGAAATAAAGCACTGGTAACCTATAAAATAATATCAAGTGTTCTAACAAAGTTGTAGTTGGAACATCATAAGGAGAAAAGAGAATGGGTTAGAAACAGTTCTGGGGGCCCTCCCTGTTGGCTTAATGGGTTAAAAAGCACAGCACAAAAAAAAAAAAAAAAAAACATTAAAAAAAAAAGCACAGCACTGTGAAGCTTCAGCCGCATCAGTGCAAGTTTGATCCAGGCCAGTGAGGTGACCCACATGGCACAGCAGACCTCTCCTGTCTTGCCTGCTACTTCCCTCAGCAGTGTACTTTGTCACCATCAGCAGTGTACTTTGTCACCATCAGCAGTGTACTTTGTCAGTCTGCCTGTTCTGCTCCCCACTGTGTCTCTGGTGAATCCTCTCACCTCCCCTGCACCTCTGACCTGTACCCCAATTCTGAATGGATAAATAAATCTTAAAAAAAAAAAAGAAAAAAAAAACAGTTCTGGACTTCATTTCCACAAATGATACAGAAAGCTGGAAATAGCTTCACTCCCATTTCAAACAAGGAACTGGTAAACAATGTACAAAAATCTTAACTTTTCTTGAAGCCATCAGTGGATGGAGATATTAAACAACATGTAATCTAAAGAAAGGTGGAATGCAGCACATAGCAGAACAGATCATAGGAAGAAGATGGAGTTGCCTTATAATAAGTCAGCTAAAATGTTTAAGAAAATATCTAAGGTCAAGCGTAGGTTAGGAAAAGAACACGGAACTCCTTGATGCTGCAAATGCAGCATTTTCACTAGAGGCCTCTCTTTCAGGTCCTCAAGAAAAAGACCAACATAAGGCAAAAAGCAGAAAAAAGAAAGAAAGAAAACAGAGGAACAGATCTTGAGGGACATGAAGAAAATTGTAAAAGAAAAAGAAATCTCTAATTCTGGGGAGTAAGGAGAAGCAGGAAACCATATTAGGACTTGACTTTATAGGTATCCTCTTGTCAGGTAGACAAAAGAAATTCATGCAAGCGCTTGCCAAAGAGCTGGACTACCATATGAAAAAGTACCAGTCAAGACTTAGGACCTAATACTAAGTCGAGCCAGTGCAACAAAGAACATCCCTACCATCAGATTAATAATCATTAAGTTATTCACAACAGAAATCTATATTTTAAGGGAAAGCAATGAACATGGAGAAAAACCATCTCTAAAGTTTGGACGCATGAGGAAGATCTAAAACTGAGCATTATACAGGAATACTGACAAAAAACAATTTAGTTACAATCTGAACATAACACTACAACAGAAGAATTTCATGCTATGGTACACAGAAGGTATATTAGACTAATGCAGCTTCTGTAACAAAAAACCAGTAATTGAATAGCTTAAACAACAGAATTTTTTTCCCCTCATACTTGCAGTCCTAGGCGCAAAATGAGAACTGTCATCTTCCCATAAACAGTCTTCCTGGCTATGGATAACTACCTACCTTGTTCTGTCCTCACAAGATAGAAAAAGAACACTCTCATGCCTCTTTCTATAAACACTAATCCTATTGGATCAGGTGCCTACCCTTAGAACCACCTTAATCTTAATTACCTCCATAAATATAAGTACACTGGAGGTTAGGGTTTCAATATATGAATCTTGGGGACACAACATTCAGTCTATAACAAAAGGCAATTATAATAACAACATCAAATTTAGCTCTACTTCTGATTAGATTAGCTCAATCGGCAACACTAACAGCCTAGCTGAGGAGGTATATTGATTGCAGGCATATACTGTTCACCTCAGCTGCTTCTGTCTTACAAATGATATCCAGAATTTCAAAGACATGAAAAAAGGGAAAAAACATTGTCAAGAGAAAAAATAGTGTCAGAGATTAGATTAGCAATATCAAATAAGCTTGAAATAACCGTAATTATTGTAATTATTGTTACAGCAGAAAAGAAACATTAATCATGAAAAGAGGGAGAATTTCAGTAAAAAAAATCTTAAGAGTTAAATAAAAAGTCAGAAATAAAACAAGTAGTAACAGAAACAATGGGTTCATTGATAGATATAAAACAGTAAAAAAGAAATAATCATTAAATTTCATGGAGTCCCAAATTAGGTGGAATAAAATACCTCTTACATATGAAGACACAGATGCATCAAAAGTTAAAAGGCCAGGGGAAAGGATACATTAGCCAAGTACCACTCATAAGAAATGATATATTATTATTATTATTTTATTATTATCATTATTATTATTATACCACACAATATTAATACTAGACACAACCATTTTCAAGAAAAGAAATACTACAAACATGTCATAATGCTAACATGATCAATTCATTAAGAAAACATGTATACCTAATAGCAAATCTTCAAAACAAATGAAACAAAAAACAGACCAAACAACAACTGCTCCCTCAATTGATAAGGGTTTATGTAACATTAGTAATGATATAAAAAACCTGAACAGGGCCCTCCCTGGTGGCCTAGAGAGTTAAAGCACAGCACTGAGCAGCTATCCCCAGCAGGGAGAAGACCCACATGGCGAGGCAGGCCTCTTCTGCCTTGCCCCCTGCTCCCCTTAACAGTGTATTTCAGTCAATCCTCCTATTCTGTTTCCCACTCTGTCTCTTGTGAATCTTCTTACCCAACCTCACCCCTGCACCTCTGGCCTGTACCCCAGTTCTTGTATACATAAATATATCTTAAGAGGAAAAAAAAAATAAACCTTAACAATTGTATAAAACAACTTGGCCATGTTGACACTCAGACTGTTATATTCAACAAAATATTCCTATTTTTTATGCATAAAGGGACATTTTGTTGACTATAAAACTAGACTGAAATCAGAACCTACTCTCTGAATCCAAGAAAAATAACAAGACATCTGGGAAAATAGTAAATATGTGAAACATATATTTCTAACTAATCCATGACTCAAAATTCACAAGTAATTAGAAAAATTTTTAAACAAAATGATAAAGGAAAAGACATATCAAAACTTGTGGAAAATAGCCAAAGTACTTATGAC